ACGCGGGTTGATAGGACAATAATCAGTCTGAACTGAAGTTCATCAGCGAAGTTGTTTAATTAAACTTTGACGGCACGCACGCACGCGTGTGGCTGCAAACGGCACGGGCAACTGCGCAAAGATGATACTGAAGAGCAGGAACAGGAAATGAAAAGACACTGCGACTTACGGAGATGTAAATATGTGTCGTGAGTATCCATTCCGAGTCAGTTTACTGTCAGGTCTGGTCCCTGAGCCGCGCGGCGCCCCTCTCAATTCCTCTCCCCGGCCCGAGTGAACTGAACTCTGCGGTGCTGCTGGCTGGCTCGGGGCCGCGATCAGGGGGAGGCGGTGGGGAGGAGGGGTTTCACAAACGACAACAATCAGATAACACATAGCCAGGCAGATGACTTAAGCACATGTGTACAACAGTTTATACAAAATAACATTTAAACAGTATAACCATGACTAATTACTGTTTAGTAGCTAACACACAATTTAAGTAAATATATTGCAATGCTATTTATAACATGGCCTGAACACACACTAGAAAGAACAACCATTTACATCTGACAGATGTTTTTATACATGTATAAATGTAATGTAAGGCTTAGATGACCATTGATGCTAATAGTTTCCGTGATCCACTTAGGCTTGCAATGCTTTTGCAACACAGACCAGATCAGGTAGAAATGCTTAAGGTAAGAGCTGAACAATGTTCTTCTTCATAATATGTGTGCCAAAAGGAATAGCATAATTCCAGTCAGGCAAAGGGTAGAATTTAAGCAATTATCAACCCAATCCCAAGAGAAAATGTAACTATTTCCCGAGCTGGCAATTTCACCTAAATTTGTATGATGTGATTAGCACAGAAACATGATTTTTTTTTTTAAAGAAAATGAAGATCCACCCCTAATACGAAAACATTGGAATGAGATATTAATTAATATGAATTAGCCACCAATTCACTAAAATAGGTATGAATTCCTATGAGAGTGTGTTGCAATTTATAGGCCTATGTAATTGGCGGATATTGTGTTTATTTTTTTGTTTTAAGTACATTTGTTTTTATTCGGCATAATAACTCATATAACATATGCTAAATCAAACTTGTTTTTAAATTTGATAAAATGCAAAAGTAGAAAACAAAACAGGAATAAAATGATTTTTGTGAATGAGATCTGTCTGGCCGCCTGGTTTCATGTGTGGTGGCTCAAAGACTCCTTGAAATCCCCCCAGACTGTTCCTCTGAGTGTGGGGTCATACAGGGGTGAGCTCTCACTTCCACCGAAGGTTATTCAGAAGTCACCAGCATTCACCAGTCTTAAACTAGTGTGGGGTTAGTGCTCTAAATGACCAGTGACTTCACAAGGCCCTTCCCTCTATAAGCCCACCTCATCCCACAACCCCCACATACTCTGTCCCCTCATTGTAAATGACCTATTAAAGAACACAAGACCATGGTAAACAAGATGAATGGCTTTTTTTCCAACCCATCTCACACCAATCAAGGCTTTCTGTTTGAACCCCCTTCTTTAAGTCTATTAGACCATGTTCATTTATTAAAGTCAAACCGAAGAATTAAAACGGTCATTTGTCACTGATCTCTTTGTGTGGGCTTAATGGTGGCACATGGTGTAAGGCCTGCAATTTGTTATCCTCTTCTTTTCACTCAGGTTCTCTTATTTTATAGCCATTTTGGGTTGAACACAAGGAAACAAGTTGCTGTCAGTTTCTTCTGCCATGCTGATAAATTTGATGAATGCAAAATGTGAATAAAGTATGATGTCGAATATTTGGCATGTCACGTTGATTACGTGTTTGCATAGAAACGGCCCTGGATTTTTTCAACATTGTTTATTTAATTCGTTTTTATTTTTCTCTGAGTCTGCCCCTTTTAACCTCCATCATGTTTCTTTTGCCTTCTTATCTCAGAGATAATCAGTCACATACTCTCTTTCTAACACACTAACACATACACACACACACACACACACACAGTCAGAGCTGTCAGTGAGCCAAACCATATGCAGTAATCCCTTTGTATTCACAAACCCATCCAGACAAACAATGTGCCCCAGCCACGTCCCACCCCCAGCACACCAGACCTAGGCCACCTGCCATCATGGTCCCAGACACAAACCAAAGGATGAAGACCTACAAGTTTGTGTCAGTGTGTGAATACTGAACATTTCTCTCTGACACTCGTGCATGTTATGAATTGTTTTTCTATTCCTGAAACTGGCAACCCATGTGCAAACGCTCTTCTTTCAATCTGTCCTTCTACTTTACACTCCACTCATTTGTTCTCCAAATCCAACACAAATCCCCCTCACACAAGCTGAGATGATAAGTGATCCTCTTCTGTTGTCGCTTTGAGGAGACAATGCTCAACAACTGTGTTCATCAATCTCAGAAGATATCCATCAGGCAAACAAAAGATGAAGTGAGCAGAGGGCTATGTTTGTGAAATGTCTGTTTGCTTACTCTCTTCTGCTCTTTTCTATCTTTTTTTTTCTTTCAGACTGAAGCTTTCTCCTGATGACTGCTGAGTTAAAACACCCACAGAGATGCAAGTGCAAATTGAGCACAGAAATCGAGGAGTGGGGGTGATTTTATGGAATTGTGAATCCTTCCGTTTTATATATTTAGTTCTTCATCTGTTTTCCAGCAGGAAGCTCTAAAATTCTACTATGCTCTGCTTTTATTGCATTATTCACTGCTTTTCTTTTAAGGGCATAAGAATATAGACAACAATTCTCAAATTAAGTTTCACTTGCGTTATGACCCCCCATAAATGAAGTTTTTTTTTTTTTTGCCTGCTTATTTTTTGATTTACCTTTTGAAAACCTGAAGTCGGCCACTCATTTGTTCTCCAAGCCTGTTTTTGAACAAACAAGTTCCTATGGCAACATAAAGACCTGGTGTTCAAAGCTCTAATCCATTCCAAATGGATGCTCTTGACATGCGTTATATTAACCTGTTAATACTTATATTAACAGTTTGTGTGAGGGGGCTGGTGGGTTTATGCAATTAACCTGAATGGACCATACTGGTTCATGATTGGCTAAAACACAAAAAAGAACCCGTGAGTGGGTTCTTTTCAAATTAGTTTATCTCATTGGATGCTTTTATCTTAAAACACTCGGAATTAATGACTTTTTTTTAGTGCTTAACATGGCTTAACAATAAAATCCTCACCCATATTCATATAGCAAAAAAAATTGATTATTTAAAACTGACTTGTTAAACCTTAGGCCTACCTACTCAATCGGTTGTGTTTTCTTTTGTAGCTACAATCACATCTTAAGCTTGCTTGAATTTTGGATAAATTGATGGCCACATTTTAAATTGTAGGTTAAACAATAGGTTTAGGTTTTTTGAAAACACAAGAACGTTCCATGGGTAAAGTGTGAGAGAGGTTCAGATCCAGCTGAGATTGCTGTAGACCACCTCAGGTTAAGCTGACAATGTCCTGGGAAGACCAACAAGATTATGGCTATGAACACCTGTTCCAGATCTTCAAACCAGCCAGTGTGACCTGCTGGTCTGACATTTAGTAACTTAACAAGGAAGAGAAAAGATGAACAACCTATGAATAAGCAACCTGATAAACCCTACAGCTCAGCTGGTTGGTTTTTACCAAACAACTTTAATATTCCTATTTTTTCCCTAAATGTTGTTTTGTATGTCAGTTTGACAGTCATAATTAGTAGCTCCAGTCTAGAGCCTGTTAATCGTTATGTTGTATATATTTTGTTTTACTGCACTCAAACAAAAAAACAACCCCCCCCCCCCCCCCCCCCCAACAAAAAAACAAAAAACATTACAATTATTATTGTTGAATACATGTTACATATCTTGCATCTTTTATTTTATCCAACACTGATGCTTTAAATAGGACATCCAGTGACCAAGCCTGGCTTATAGTTCACATAGTCAAATGTCAAAGTGTCAGCTTTCAGCTATGTTTGTAAATAGCCTACACTATCTCTTATAGGCAGTAATACAATTCCGAGTCTCAATTGTGATTATTGTTTTGCCTAGTTAGGTCTTTCAACTGAGAGTTGAAATAAATGCACTTAGAAACCTGAGGAAAGCATGGTTAAAAAAAAAAAAAAAAAAAAAAAACCGGTATGATACAAAGGCAATTGAACGCTTTAATGCAAATCTTCAATGCAATGTCAACCCGGTTTTCCAATGCATTCATTAATTTGTTTAATTGGCAAATTGATCCTTCTTTTGAGTCGGATCTTTTCAATTGATCAGTTGAAAAATTTTCACAAAGTGGTCTGCTTTTTTTAAGAAACATTTAAGAAATCCTTTTAAACGCAGCCCTTAACGAATTGAATAGCCTAATTGAATCGGACATCATCCATTGCTGAAGTGAACCGAAGATTTTACTAATTAGGCGAAACACCTTTGTTTATTCGACTGTTCAGCACTATGTTTTCGATTGTTTAGTTATTATGTTGATTGTCTTGTGAACATAGTTAGATAGCTTATAGCCTAGGCCCACTACCTATATATATTTTAGCCGAATGTGACAATTAAAACGTAGGCTACTGTAGCCTAAATATAGCTACGCATAAGAAAAAAGGTTGATTTTAATAAACTATTTTATTACAACGCCAAATACGTATTAATTGTAAAATATGTATTTTTGGTATTGTTTAATCTTTTATCTAAATTATCTTTCTAAATCAGATTAATCGTGACTGCAACAAACTGAACTGCGATGCATGAAATTACAATGTAGCCAGCAGTTTTTGTAACTAATTAGGAAAAAAACAACGTCAAGAGCATGGAGATGTGCCTAAACCAGTTGAATCAGTCTTTGAGCCGGTTCTTTAAAATGAACTGTTTGAAAGAACAGAATTGCTAGAAAGCAGACAGTCTATTTTTTTTTTACAGTATTGTCTACTGCCACCATGTGGCGTAGAGATGAAAAACAACAGTCTTTACCATGGTCTTTACAGGCCTGTGTTTGACATAGACCCACTCCGGCACCCGTAGAGTTACCGTAAAACTAGACGTGTACTTGCTGCATTATTGTTATGTAGTTTCATCAGAATCGGGAAATACGTGTTTACATCTTGACACAGATCTCATCCATAACCAGTGTCCGTCATCCGACTCACTTTTAAACTTTACTAATGTGTTCAAGGCATAATGTCGTCGGATTTGATGTTAGATTTTGTGAATCAGTCGATGATGAATAAGGAAGCAGGGGACATTTCCATCGATCAGGATGGAGAGTGGGGTAAGATAAGATGTACTTTCTAGAAACGGCGCGTGCTGCTTTACTACCGACGTATTCTACTAGATTTACGCTTAGCAAAATATCTTTATGTTTAGATCAAGCTCATTGTGGAGCGACTTAATATAGTGGTTTGTTTGCGATTTCGTCAACTGACTGGTGAACTTGTTTCCCATTCATCCGTAGTGTTGTTTTTGTGGCTTCGGTTTAAGATGTTAATCATTTTAAGTAGTTGAATGAAAAATATTAGCACCTTTGTTTATTCTAATGTTCATCACTACATGTTTTGGATTGTAAGTTATTATGTTGATTGTCTTGTGAACATGGTTATACTATACTTAGTTAATCACGGTGTGTCAGTAAGGTTTAGGTTAATTATAAAAGAAACTGGAATGGAAACTGTGTTACAATGCCTCAGGGTGTGTGGTTGCTGGTTGCTTGACCTGGACACAAAAGAAGGTTTATGAAATTGATATAGCCTATTTCCTGTCTTGCTCTCATGCCTTCAGCACTTTGTTTGTTTTCTTTTCTTCTTTGTTTTGAGTTAACCTGCCTTAGGTCATACTTAAGTTCAGGACACTGTCTTTTTTATTTGTGCAGATATCAGTCTGTTTGATGATCTGGAGGATCTCGGGGATGCTGACGAGCTTCTGGAGGCGCTGGTGGAGAGTGTAGGCTATGTGAGTCAAATCTGTCAAACATTCGGAAAGGAAAAACTCTTCTTTGAAAGACTGTCCTGCTCATATTATTATTTTAAATATTATAATATTTTTGTTTTAGTTTTATCACAGCTGTAAACAGAGGTTTGTAGAAAAACATCAGTAATTAAGCATGAATCAAAAGCATTGTGGATCTTTCCTTCTTTAGGACACCTCTGTTCCTGACCTGAACTTTGACATTGAACACCCAGTGTGGAGTAGCCCTCGATCAGGTACTAATTTTCCGTTTCCTGTGGACTGGACATGACTATTTTTGAATGTCTATAGCAGCAATGAATTCAGAGTAGCTAGCTTAATATTTTTGAGAAATGTGTAGAATATCACCAAAGCAAAATGTAGAAAACTACATGTACAGTCACCATTCGAGGGTCACTATGTGTAGGTAAAAGATCTGATTTCAAAGTTTTTTTTTCTGTCCTTGTTCTCTCTGTCTGCTCTCACAGATGGTGATGTAACCGTGGACTCACTGTCACCAAACCATACGCTCAGTTCAGTGTCCTCACCAGCGTCAGTTGAGCCCCTCTCACCGTACTCCACACATGTGAGTCAAACTCCACTCCCCAAAACAAAGATACACAACACTGTCCTTTAGCATTTCTGCCCACTGAACTTTGCATCTAAATCTGTCCAGTGTTTTGAACTCCACACACCTTTTACAATCACAGACAAACTAACATGCGCACAATTATTTATTTATTTATTGCATATATAGCAACGTATAGCTATAATATAACATTTAGGAATTGCAAAAGATACTCAAAATTGTATTAAAATATTATTTGATTTATATTTTATAATATATTTATTATAAAGTAAAAAATTATACTATTTTTTTTTTTAATGTATTTTAGTTTTTTGATATATACACCCAGATACAGTTCTTTTTTCTGACTTAATTAGTCAGATGCCCATCCAGTGCCCAGATGGAGTGTGTTTGGGGTGAACTGGTCCTGCCAGCTGCTGTAGTTTAGAGATCAAGAGGGCAGACACGCACATACACCCGTGTGAATTAGGTGTCTAATTAAGTCTCCACTGTGTTAACGAATGTCTTAATCAGCTCTCAGCACATCATCAAACTAATTAATGTCTCACATTGAGATGTGTCCAGGCTTTTTTGTAATGTGTGTTGACTGTTCAAGGTTTATAACAAAAAAAAATCACAGTGTCCCTTTCAAGGTTTCAAAGAAAACTGAAATGCCACTATCACTCATGCACATTGTTTCAGTGAAAACCTAAACATTTGAATCTCAGTGTCACATCAGAAACTTGATGAGAAGGGAACTAAAAACCTTTTACCTATTACTAACCTATTTAACATGCCACATATTTGCTATAGTTTGCATATACTGAATGTTAACATTCCGTTCTGTTATTGAATGATGCAACATCCTGTAAAGGGACGTGCTTATAGGACACATTCTTGTTTTCAGTAAAACAAGATGGATGAATGAATGAAACTAAACGATGGATACTCAATGCAAGTTGAACTATTTTTAACATGTTTTAAAAAAATGACTTGTATGGCTCAGTTACAGTCAGACACAAGGTAGTGACTGAAGACACATTAAAGAATAGGCTGGTATCACCTGTGTTCTGTAGTGTGTTATGGTTTTATTGATCCGTCGTTGGATATGTGCAAACAGTTAAGCATTGATATGTATTGTTTTAGACCATCTGGATTCACAACCCAGAATTCCCATGCTTGAGTGCACTTTCAGTTCTAGGGCTGTAACGATACACCAAACCCACGATTCGATTCGTATCACGATTTTTGACCCACGATTCGATTCGTATCGCGATTCTATCACGGGGGCGGGGCTTGAGGGGGCGGGGCTTGTGGTGAAAAAAAAGAGATTTTGAGAGAAGAAAAAAAATACCGGTATTTTTATTAAATAACATTAGGAAAAACCTGTATAATCTAAACACCAAAGAACAATAATAACTATGCAAATTATTAAACTAAACTAGGCAGTGTAGGCTGCTGCTTTTGGGTTGTGTTCTGTACTCCAACTAAATTGATTTCGGGATGGTGCCGTAGGATATGCATCTGCATGTTGGACGTGTTGCCGGTCAATTGAGGATTCATTTAATGCACTTTCTGAGAATTTATATTTCAAGTTTTGGCTGCAAATTTCACGTCCATAATGCTGAAATTGCCAAATTTTAAATAATTTATCCTCAACTAGTTTTGTGGTGTAGGTCTACGTATTTTATAATGTTAACTTCAAATAATACTAATAGTATTTTAAAGATGTGGTAGTTCTCAGGGCCTGAATTTCGTTTTGGAAAATGGGGGGGAAATCCTTTAGATGATTCTCATGGGGGGGATTTTTTTTTGTTTGAGGGGGAGAAAGGGGGGGCATTTTTTCCAAACAGAATTATTACATTTATCTTGCCTAAATGTTTGCGCTCATTGCATTTTTACAATGGGGTAATATTGTTGTTAAGAATTTACACATCACAAAGAAGCTTGATTTAAATTGTTTAATTAAATGAAAAAAGTAGCACAAATAAATACTATACAATAGAATAAAGATACAAATAAAGACAATTAAAGAGAAAAGTTTTTGAATAGGTCTAACACTAGTATTCATATACAGATACTGAATAAAGTAATCAAATGGAAAATAACACTGGGTAGTATTTTAGTCCTGAATAAATTAAATAGCTACATAGGCTATTAATCCTGATTCCTTTAACTTAAAGCCATCTTTTGTTGTTTTGACAACAAAATTAATGACAGACACATATGGCTTCCGTCACTTTAAGAGCTAGTGCACGGATCCTGTGTTCATTATACTGGCATGCGTTTTATGCTTATTAAAGACAAAACCGACTATATTTAGAGTATAGCCTACTCACAAAGACCGAAATTGACAATTTTGCGTGTTAAAGCAATATAATCCGCGAAAAATAGTTACTGGCCAGCTGTTTTTGAGGCGGATTTTCTATGAATGTGCGCATAGAAAATAATCTCAGAGAGCGCGCGAGCACTGATTAGTTTAAAATCGCTTGAATGTTTAAACTGGTAAGACTTAAAAAGACTTTTATAGTCTATGGTCCCGACTCCAAAACGCAAGTGTGTATTATCGCCGCAGCGCTTGATGCCTGCCTTGCACAACACATTATGAGAAGAGATTGAAGACGTGCGGCACCGCTGAACACTCACGCTGTTTGTGAAATTGCGTCTGGAAGATAGTTGTTAAAAGAATGATTTGATTTTATTATCTGTGTGGATTACGATTGCGGGAACTTCCCGCATTATAAATGGGAGACCTGCGGGAATGATTAGAATTATGCGCAATACCCGCGCCGAAATTCGAGCCCTGGTTCAGGACAGGAAGGATAACTCTGGGAGTTGGAAGGGGTGTGATCGCGATTCTGTCTTCTCACATCGCGATACAGGATCGTGGACCTGAGTATCGCGATTTCGATTTTATATCGCGTATCGTTACAGCCCTATTCAGTTCTCTATCTCTCTATAAGGCCACGGATGGCTTTTCTTTGATAGACCTAACTAACTATTATGCTGCCATACTTTTGACGTGTCGGAAATTGTTTTTTTTTCATTCTATTCAATATGCTTTCTTCAGGATGAGGCGCTCTCTCCAGTCTCATGGCATTCTCAGCTCTCTCCACTGTCTGTCTGTTCTGACTCGAGCGGTTTTGCTGAGGCACCCACTGAGAAGAAGCCTTCCAAGAGGACCAATCAGACAAAAGGTAAGTGAAGTACATTCATTGTGAATAACTGAAACCTCCATAATTTCCTTATTTGAACAGTATATTTTTAACTTTTTGTAATAATGTTGATTAACAGTAAAATTGTTCTCACAGCAAAGCCTCTCCAACCAGCGAAGAGACCAATTCAGGTTAGCCCCAAGGTTTCCATTCAGCCTAAACCACTCATTACCACGATGCCCATCGCCCATGCTGCAGCCCCGCTTCAGACTAAGACCATCATCATCCAACCTCTCCAGGCTACTGTTCTACCGGTGGTGAAACCTCCACCTGTCACTATTCAGCCAGCGCCCCCTACAGGTGAAAAAACCTTCTGCCACACTTAAAAAAAAAAAAAAAAAAACTTTTTAAAGTCTTATATGTAATAAAAGTATTATATGTATTCACATTTTTATACATTTTTATTTGTTTATTTGCAAGGTTAAATGTTTCAGGTTGTATTGCAGCGCTCTGTTCATGCATAAAAAAAACAGCAGATGGCGCAAAGCATCAACTTTTTGTACTACTGGTGGGCATCTCATTTAAAAATGTCTATCTTCAAGCAAACTGGGAATTGTTCTTCAACTGCTGGTACACCTTTCTGCCCTGTTACGTATCCTAGAAAAAGCAGAACCGAAGTATATATATGAGCTGCCTGTTTCTGACTTTTGAAAAAAGCCATTCACACTTTGGTTTCTCACCAACTGTTTTTATGTGACGTTTAGAGTTGGGTAATAGACTGTTGTGCAACAAAAGTGGTTGTTAACTAGACAGTCATTATCTATCTAGTAGTTATGTGTTCAAAACTTAATTTATTAAATGTAGTTCATAGTTATCATATATATATATATATATATACATTACTGTTTTTGAAAGAAGTCTCTTATGATCATCAACCCTGCATTTATTTGATCAAAAATACAGGAAAACCAGTAATATTATGAAATGTTATTACAATTTTAAATAATGGTTTTCTATTTTAATATACTTTAAAATATAATTTATTACTGTGATGCAAAGCTGAATTTTCAGCATCATTACTAGTTCTATTAGCTTTACTTACTAATACTAATATGCTGATTTATTATTAATGTTGGAAACAATTGTGCTGCTGAATACTGATGAATATAAAGTTAAAAAGAACAATATTTATTTAAATTAGAAATGTTTTGTAACAATATACACTACTGGTCAAAAGTTTGGGGTCAGTATTTTTTTTTCTCTTTTTTGGGGGGAAATAAATGAATACTTTTATTTAGCAAGGATGTGGTAAATTGATAAAAAGTGATGGTAAATATTTCTATTTTTAATAAATGCTGTTCATTTGAACTTTTTATCCATCAATGAACCCTAAAACCCTAATGAACCCTTTTTTCAAAAAAAAAAAAAAAATTCAGCAGCACAATTGTTTCCAACATTGATGAATAACTGAGTATCACATCAGCATATTAGAATGGTTTATGAAGGATCATGTGGCCCTGAAGAATGTAGTACTGGCTGATGAAAATTCAGCTTTGCATCACAGAAATAAATGATATTTTAAAGTATATTAAAATAGAAAACCATTATTTTAAATTGCAATAATATTTCACACTATTAGTTTTTTTCTGTATTTTTGATCAAATAGATGCAGGCTTGATGAGCACAAGAGACTTCAAAAACATTAAAAATAGTAATGTTTCCAACTTTTCACCTGTATGTATATATATATATATATATACACTCACCGGCCACTTTATTAGGTACCCCATGCTAGTAACGGGTTGGACCCCCTTTTGCCTTCAGAACTGCCTCAATTCTTCGTGGCATAGATTCAACAAGGTGCTGGAAGCATTCCTCAGGGAGTTTGGTCCATATTGACATGATGGCATCACACAGTTGCCGCAGATTTGTCGGCTGCACATCCATGATGCGAATCTCCCGTTCCACCACATCCCAAAGATGCTCTATTGGGTTGAGATCTGGTGACTGTGGAGTCCATTTTAGTACAGTGAACTCATTGTCATGTTCAAGAAACCAATTTGAAATGATTAGAGCTTTGTGACATGGTGGAAGTAGCCATCAGAGGATGGGTACATGGTGGCCATAAAGGGATGGACATGGTCAGAAACAATGCTCAGGTAGGCCGTGGCATTTAAACGATGCCCAATTGGCACTAAGGGGCCTAAAGTGTGCCAGGAAAACATCCCCCACACCATTACACCACCACCACCAGCCTGCACAGTGGTAACAAGGCATGATGGTTCCATGTTCTCATTCTGTTTACGCCAAATTCTGACTCTAACATCTGAATGTCTCAACAGAAATCGAGACTCATCAGACCAGGCAACATTTTTCCAGTCTTCAACTGTTCAATTTTGGTGAGCTCTTGCTAATTGTAGCCTCTTTTTCCTATTTGTAGTGGAGATGAGTGGTACCCGGTGGAGTCTTCTGCTGTTGTAGCCCATCCGCCTCAAGGTTGTGCGTGTTGTGGCTTCACAAATGCTTTGCTGCATACCTCGGTTGTAACGAGTGGTTATTTCAGTCACTGTTGCCCTTCTATCAGCTCGAACCAGTCTGGCCATTCTCCTCTGACCTTTGGCATCAACAAGGCATTTCCGCCCACAGAACTGCCGCTCACTGGATGTTTTTTCTTTTTCGGACCATTCTCTGTAAACCCTAGAGATGGTTGTGCGTGAAAATCCCAGTAGATTAGCAGTTTCTGAAATACTCAGACCAGCCCTTCTGGCACCAACAATCATGCCACGTTCAAAGTCACTCAAATCAACTTTCTTCCCCATACTGATGCTCGGTTTGAACTGCAGGAAATTGTCTTGACCATGTCTACATGCCTAAATGCACTGAGTTGCCGCCATGTGATTGGCTGCTTAGAAATTAAGTGTTAACGAGCAGTTGGACAGCTGTACCTAATAAAGTGGCCGGTGAGTGTATATACATATACACACAGACACATATGTGGATGCAATTTTTTTTTCTTTTTGAATGTTCTAAGGGAAACTGTTAATTACTTTATTTGTACGTTTTAATTGCATTCATTCATTCATCGCATTCATTTTTACTGCAATCAATGCTGATTTATTGTGATTGAGAACAGTAGGAAAAAGATTTCTCCACAGACTGCTCTGATGAAATAGGCGACTCTGTTTAATATCTGGAGTGTTAAACTGTGGCTGTCAGGAATCAGCAAGCTTCAGTATCCGTTTCCTCATGGCTAGTATAAACACTTACCTCACACACCTGGAAACACAACTGGAGCAGAAAGCAAGAGCAGCCTGAATTCAAATCTGATCCTGTAATCATCTGTTCTAAAACACTAGACTTGAATTTTACAAATCACTGGACTCCAGTGTTTCCAAACATTCACTTTTCTCACTCAGTTTTTGAGAACTGTATGAGCGGTTTCTCAGAATAAGGCCTTGCGTGACGATACTGTTTAGTTCATAAGTTGTCACACAAAGCAATTTTTCTTGTTTTCTCATTAGAAAAAGAGAGAACTGACACGAGCTGCTTATATATGTATTGAATCCATCTGAGAGAAACATAGCGGAAGTGTACTTTGAACTGATTGCGTTCATGCTACAGTAATTATTTTCTGGCTAACCGCAGAGTTTTGATGCAAGGTTAATTGTAGTTTGTCGGAAGACTAATGGGTAAGCCAGTGGGTGGCTGAGAGAATGGAAGTCGTTCGGAATGAACCCCGCCGGGGAGCCGCAGCGAATTCCTCTCATTTAACTCAACACCAACAGCAACCTGTCATGCCTGACAAATTCTGTTTGTCTGTGTTACCTGGAGGTAACGTGTTTTGTTCTGGGTGAAGGATGGTGCTTGGCACAACTGTTTCCTTTGTGATTAAAACCCCTCTTTGGGGTTATTAAACAAGTCTGTGCTGTAAAAAGTTTACTTGCAGAGTTTTGAGATTAATGGAGATCAATAAAAAGGGAAGAAAAATAACAGCAAAACATGACTCTCAGTACATTTCCTACTGTATTTGAACGGTAAAGTGTTTAAACTGAATGTGTTTCTCTTGCAGGTCAACAAATGTTGCTATCTCGGCCCACTCAGGTTGTCCAGCTTCAGACGCCTCAGCCAGTGCCCACGCGTGTAGTCACTGTGCCAACGCTGGCTCAGGACAGATCCATATCTGTTGTTGCCCCGGTAACAGCATCTCCTATGGTCGCAATGACACTGCAGAATTCCACCCATGAGGATGATGTAAGTTTCTACTGCCAGAATTCTTAAGTTTTGCAAAAACACAGTTTATTTGTCAAGATTACCTGTTAATATTGGTTAAATTGCTGATTTATTTTGTGGTTTATGAATGTGAATCATCACGGCATATGGCAACAGTCCACCGTCATTCAGCTAGTTGTTCAATGTCCACCAACGGAGTTCAACTTGCTCAGTTTTAATATTTTTAACAACAATGAAAATGTGCTGACCGCTTGCATTGCTTTTCAGTTTTTAGCCAATTAACTGTTTAGGCAACTCACCAACTAGTTGTTTTTAAAAATATGTACACTATACCGGTCAAAAATGTAGGGTTGGTAAGATAAAATTTTTTTTAAAATAATAACAATAATAATAAAAAAAGTCTCTTATGTACGGAAGCCCTGAACCGCAAAAAAAAAAAAAAAAAAGATTCTAGCATTTCGAGATTAAAGTCGAAATTACGAGAATACAGTCTTCCGTAGAAGTTATTATTTATTTTTTTGTAAAGAAATGCGCTTGTGAAGTTAAACTGCTTCTGACATGGATCTAAATATAATAGCAGCTTTTTAATTTTATCTGGGCTTTCAACAAAAGGAAATTCTACAGTTGCTAATCTAACAACATGGCATTACCATGGAGTTGCCATAGACGAGCACGAAGACTCCGGCGGAGTACCACAATCCTGGTCCAAACTTTGTGGCGTGTTGAATCGAAGCCTTCGTGTTTTCGTGCTCGTTTATAGGCAACACCATCTAGGTCGAGAACACTTAACAGTACTGTCTCCCTCTTCACCGTAAATACTTTCTGGATACATTTTAAGTGCCTCATTCTGTATCCAATCATTTGGCCGGATCCCGCAATTTCTTCAGATATAAAGCTGGATAACTCTATCCAGTCTGAAAAGTGTTTTTGCCTGTAAAGTCTATTCCGGCGCATTAGGCCTATATATTTTGTAACGTCCTAAAACAAATGGTAATGCCATGTTGTTAGATTTGCACCTATAGGATTTCCTTTTGTTGAAAGCCCAGATAAAAGTAAAAAGCTACTATTTTGTTTCGACTTTAATCTCGAAATATTTCGATTTACGGCATTTTTTTTTTCAACGGCTTTTTTTTTTTTTTTTTTTTTGGTTCAGGGCTTCCTTACTTAGCTCACTAAGCATTTATGCATTTATTTAGTCGAAAATTCAGTGAAAACAGAAGTATTGTGAAAAATGATCACCGTTTAAAATAACCGTTTTCTACTTGAATATATTTTAAAATATGATTTATTCCTGTAAAGGCAAAGCTGAATTTTCATCTGTGATACATTTAATTTTTTGTGATTTCTTGCGGGTTGTTTGGGTTTGAAAGTTCAAAGTTAAAAAATAACAGAATTTATTTAATGTAGAAATACCCTGTAAAAGTCTTTCCTGTTAGATTTGGTCAATTGTATGCATCCTTGCTGAATAAAAGTATTAATTTCTTTGCTTTCCAAAAAAATTTAAAATTCCAAAACATACTGACCCCAAACTTTTTAACGGCAGTGTAGCGGTAGTTTTGCACATCCCAATTTATTGCACGGTTATCCCAAAAGAGCTGCTATGAGGATTCAGTTTCACTGAAAGTAAAAGACTTTGTGGTATTCCACATGAAATGTTTTTTTTTTGGCGCAAAGACCTGTAAAATAAGAGACCATGCAGCAATTCTTTTTAACAGGAATAGATTGAGGTGCCAGCCAACATGATTTACCTTGTAAATCTGATGGCAAGTATATTTTAAGAGGTGTGTCTGCTGTGAAAGTTCAGTGTATACACCCACTGCTGTAATTTGGCTAACATCTTTGCATATGAAATAGCTAGTATTACATGTGGAACTCTCTAGAACACTTTTAGCCCGTCTTTACCATTACAGCTGAACTAATTGTGAAAAGTGGTGATTATTGCATTATATTTAGATAGTGGCATGAAAGGTTGCAGTGATGAGCATTGTAGCCGACTACAGACATGTTGAGCTCGTGAATGCATCGATCTCGTCATTGCAACTGGATTTCTGCACTCTTACGAATGCTTTCATCATAACAGTGCAAACACAATGTAAAAAAGAGATTTCGTTGATTATAACCAAAGACTATATGTAAAAGGGACTTTGTTATAACTGGAGTTTCGGAGAGAGCCCAGAACTCAGTCACTGAAAAACTCACACTGTTTTATTGACAGCTCCAACGATTGTAGCATTCTTTGTTCGCTTTCTTAATAATTTAATCAGTTTAAATTGCAGATTATTTTCATCCTACTATGAAAAACAATGTGAAGTTGACCGTTTAGACTCTGGTTTGATTTACTGACATAGACAAAGAACATATGATTAATTAACACAGTTACCTACATGTTGTCGCATTACTGTTGAGTCCATAAAAGTCTGTTTGCAAAGCCTGCACCGAAATTGCGACTGATTTACCAAATAATGTGAAATGTACCGAATACAAATAAATAATGCTCAACTGAGACATTGTTGAAAACAAATAACCACATTCCTAGCATTAGGATCCTTTGGAAGGTAATTTTGTTTTTAGTCCAGTGAGTGATCCTGTGCTCTTCTCTCCTTATCATCTCACTAACACATTTTTCCAAAAATCTCACTGACCCTAAACTTTTGAATGGTAGTCTATTTAAGCCTTTCACTGTAAAAAATTCCTCAGACTTTCCAAGAATTATAAGTGGAAAGGACATTTGTGCTATTGTAACATATAATTGTGATAAAATATAATCTTTCTTTAGACGTTTAATGTGCAGATGATGTGTGTAATTTCAGTATGGAAGAAACCCAGTAATAGCACTAAATCTCAGTAATAGTTAGTACTGCATCAGTCTCTAATTCTAGTGTATTTGCTCAGGGACGTATAGCTGTTGTGTGTTATTTCCTGTCCCAAAACTTTATATTGATTGACTTTCTCAAAAAAGAAGAAAAAGAAAGTGTGGCTGTGCAGCACTTTCCACATTGCTCTGTTTGTTTGAGTGTCTCGACATGGCAACACTGGCTCAACCAATAGCATGAGTTTGGGGTGGGATTAACTGTTTTGGAAACCAGTTTGCTCATAATCTTAGTTTAATAGTGCTAGTCATGTAGAAATTACACACTGTGACTTTAAATAAAAGGGAACCTGAATGACCAAGGATCTGGTATTTACTCATCAAATGGTTCCCTAAACAAAAGCATGTGTTCTCCCAGATGTGCTGTCCTGACATCAGCAAAAAGCCCTACCCAGATGTGAGAAATTGGTGTTTATAGTTGAGAGAAGAGGAGAAGGTGTTATGGTAGAAACAGGAGAGAGACTCATTGGTGAGAAGAGCCCAGACTTCTATAGAAGGGATAATGGTAGTGAAAGAGTGTCATGTTTCTATGTTTCTATACAAAAAATAATTTGAGATGAAGCAATAATTGTCAAATCCCCTACTCTGCCGTTCAAAAGTTTGGGATCAGTAAGATTTATTTTTTTAAAACATGTGCTCACCAAGGCAGCATTTATTTAATTAAAACTACAGTTAAAATAGTAATATCGTGAAATTGTATTACAAATTATAAGAACTGTTTTCTATTTGAATACATTTTTAAAATGTATTTTTTTTCCTGGTATGGCAAAGCTGAATCTTCAGCATCATTACTCCAGTCTTCAGTGTCGCATGATTCTTCAGAAATCATTATAATATGTTGATTTGCTGCTCAAGAAACTTTTCTTCTTGTTGTTATTATTATTATTATTATTATCAATGTTGAAAACGGGTCTGCTGCTTAACATCTTTGTGGAAATGATGATACTTTTTTCAGGATTCTTTGATGAATAGAAAGTTCAATGAACAGCATTTATTTGCATTTATTACATTTATTTACTAAATATGTTAAAGCAGTTATTAAATAGAAATCTTTTGCAACATTATAAATGTTTTATCTGTCAATTTTGATCAATTTAATGCATCCTTGATGAATAAAAGTGTTAATTTCTCTTTCTTTTTAAGTTTTACCACAAAAAGCCTTCTTTCAAAAACATTTAAGAAACCTTGTGTCCAAAAATGTGTATTATTATTATTTTTACAGGATATTGTCTTTCTGATAAGCACGATCCGTTGTAATAACAGTAGAGTATGGCTCTCAGTCAACTATTAGTCCCAGTGTTCTTAGCAACCAACCAACAGTGAGCTCATGCTCTCATTATTTTCCATTAAAGTATTTGTTCCGACACACTGTAGATTCAACTGACCTCAGATTAATTAAATATAGAGGTCGGCATTAGTCTCAAATTTTTCTGCATTTAGTGCTGCCTTTTCCACATTGGGTGTTGTTACAGCTTTCGCTCCAAGCTCTTTTCAATTTCCAAGTTCTCTGAAAAAACACCCCAAACAAACAGCAGAGCACCTGTGTGTACATTAGTTTGGTTCGTGTGTAGGTTGAGTGGCATTGATTGGGAGAGAACATAGACAATGGACTTCCATAAAAAAACTGATAAACACAGGCGCTGTAGTAAACATTGCAATGTCAGAAATGACTGCTTAACAGCAGAATTCTCAACTAGATATGTGCAAAGTCACAGTCCGCCAGATAAAACCCCTCTCAAATGTTTTAATTTTAAAAAACTGTCAACAGGTTCGTTCATATTCATCTAGTTGTTACATGATGAAATGTTGCATATGTAGTCAATATTCCATCATGTAAAATGTATTATTTGACATGACATATACTAAATTTAGTTGATGAATATAATTCTTCAGTTGGTGGCTGTCTAAAATGAATTTTTTTTAATCAAACCAAACATTTGAAAACTGAGCTCCTGAAGTATACTAAGGTATTCACTATTTTAAAGACATTACTTGACTTGTACCTTTTACTTTGTTTATTAGCTTCTTATATATTAAGTTGACATTTTAAGACAGTTTAAGAGGATATTAAATAATGTATATCGCTTTATTAGTAGAGTATTTTTGTCAACAGTATGTTTTAGTTAAAGGTTTAATTATCATAATGATGCTT